AGGTAGACCCCCCATGAAGCAGGCCAGGCTACAAAGCTCCAAGACTTCCTTTGTTCTTTCTCTTTCCACGCGCTGACTTCAAGCTCACCTCCTGTTTTCTGCAACCATCTTCCTTTGTTTTAAGTTTTGGCATGCAGGTAATCTGCGGCCGGTGAACGCATCTCAGTTTCTCAGAGAGCGTCAGACTATAACAGATTATCAGAACGATAACAGTCTTATTCCGTCGTGCAATGAAAGGACATCAACGGACATCTTTCCACTCGACGGAGAACATATCGAAGCCGCTCTTGCCGTAAGGGACCATCGCTGCCATCAAACGCCTCTGCACCAGAACAGACAGAAGATCTGCTTTATCGCCGGACTCCTTTTTAGAGAGTGTTTTTAACAATTGTTTGATGGATGCGGAAACTGTAATTTTTCTCTTTGTTGGACCGCCGCGTCCTGAGTTTTACCTGTTTAAAACTCTTGTTCCTGTTTCGGACCGCTGCGTCCTATATGTGTTTAGCGTAACAGCGTTATAACCGGGTATTACTCTTCTGATCAGAAAAGGCCAGTGTAAACCGTATTAACTTGAATACGGCTATTGGTTTGTTTCTGTGAATGAAGGGAATTACTCCGAGTTGTGGCGCGGGATTCGGACTGTGATCCGGCCTCTTCAGGCACATATTTCTCTCCCTCTCTTTTCTCCTCCTCTTACTAACACACACACACACACACACATATTCCCGTGTAGACGCACATCTGGAGACTAACTCCACCACTGCACCATTACGCATATAGGCTACACACCCACACACACATAGAGATCTGTACACTCGCGGCAATCCAGACGCCTCAGAGACACAGATCGTGCAGGGCCAAACTCGGCCTCTTTTAGACCACTAGGTCTTTGTTAGGTGTGTGCCATCGGAAGGGCGACCACGTGGGAAGAAGCAATCTCCCCCTTTTCCCCCTCCTCTCTCTCTTTCATCCACAGACACACGCATGCACGCACCCAGGTCTTTGTTAGGTGTCTGCCATCGTGAGCGACCACGTGGGTACAAAGCCATCTCCCCCTCCTCTCTCTCTCTCTCTCTCTCTCTCTCTCTCTCTCTCTCTCTCTCACACACACACACACACCCACCCAACTACACCTTTACACCTCTTCCACAAGCCTTGCTTGATAATGTTTGTTTGCTTAGATTAGTTTATACTCGCCCACTCACTCCTTTCGCGCCGTTATCAGCCGCAACATGATACAATGTTTGCCCCACACACACAAACACACACACACACTTGAGTCCCCACAGTTCGCCGAGTCGGGTGACGAGGCTTTTATAGGTTTGGTTACATGGGGCTGTACTCCTACGTCATACTGTACGCCACACAGCCGTTAGAATTTTTCAAACGGAAGGGCAGACACTATGCACATTTCTAACACAATATTTCAAATTTCAATACTTTGTACTCAAATGTCGAGATTGGGACTTGGATTGATCCATAACACTACTTAATACTCAGATACAGAGGTTTATAGTTGAAAAAAGTGGTTTTAGGGATCCTTCTGAAGAAAATTATCTTTTCTTTAAATGTCTTGTTGTTTAAGCCAAGCAGACATCCAGCTGTGGCTTAGTTGTGTTGTACGTTGTTAGTTAATGGTTAAAGCAATAACTGTTGTCCCCTTTGTGTCCATACAACAGTTGGACATAATGATGCAGCTAGTGTGACTTTCTCAATGAACGTGATTTGTTGCATTAATCCAGATTTTGATCCTGAAGTATTCTACTAAAGGATTGTGGTGCTCCTTGTTGTTTGAGAGCCATTTGGCCAGATGAGAGGGTAATCTAAATAATTGTTGCATGGCCAGCTGTCTGAGAGGTGTGAGTTCCTCCCTTCCTTCGAGGACTTGAGGTGTGAATCCCCTCTCCTAGCTTTCAGGATAGACTGCAGTGATCAGTTGGGAAACCTAGATAAGATTTGCTCTTGTGTTGACCTAGCTTTGTTTAGCTCAGCGGTTTTGTTAATAGTAATCCACTGTGGTTCCATTTTTTCACGAAAATGTGTACCAAGACCCTAGGTGAGCCGGGAGCTGAGACTCCTTTTGGATCAGACGACACAGCACTGCAAGAAACTGTTGCCGGTCTGAAAAACCTCTCCTCAGAGGAGAGTGCCAACCTATATAGCTATTCAATTAGCATTGGTGATAAGAAGTTAAAGGAGCTAGTTGATCTTGTCAACCACAGAGCCAGGACCACCCCTAACAAAGACAGAATGTATGCAGAAGACATACATCAACCATGGGCCAAGGCTCGTTGTGGATCAGACGATCCACCCCTTCATGATGAAGTTGCTGGTCTTATCCACCTCTTTTTAGAGATCAACAGTCTGAACTCCTACACCCTCAGCACAAGAAAAAATAAAGGAGTTATTTGAGCATATAACTAATCCAACTGGGAAACCACAGCACACAATTTCAGATGTTCAAGGCCAACTTCTCTTCCTTCATCAGTGCAAATCATGTTTGCAGAATGAGAAACACCGGGCACAGCTAGCCCAGGTACGAGAAGAAAAACAGATCCTGCGGGACAACTTCAAAAGAATGCAGGATAAACTTAAGACCTTGCAGGACAAACGCAAGGCCCTGCAGGAGGAGAAGGAAGCACTGCATAGAAGCAGCAGATTGGTCGAACAGAAGAAACAAAGTGCCACCCGGAATTCAGGATGGGCAGGTATGTACTGCATGTCAGCTGAGGAAACCTCAGACGAAGGATGGGAGACTGAACCAAGTCCTTGGAGGAGGGAGACAGACATGTTGCAGGATCTGGAGGAGGGGGGAAGGCGCCGCCTGGTCGACCCAGGCACAAAAGCGCACACATCCTCTAATGACCCGGTAACGAGCCGGGTGGGTAAAGATGAATTTCGCCACGCCTCCCCAGACCATGAAGCACCGTCATGTGGAAAGACCCCAAGGCCCCCGCGTTCCGCAATACGCTTTGAGCCAAGAGAACCCTCACCTTGCAGGAGGAGGGACTTTACGCCCCCTAGAGACAGGGAGGAGGCACGGGTCCAATCGGGCACCGAACATTACCTGTCCCACGATAGACGGCCACGTCTGAGCCGAACACAAACCCCGCCACGGTTGCAACCGTACTACCGTGACAACCACAGGGCTTATGATTCGTCAGACGACTCGGACGACCCTCGCCAGCCTTCGGGTCAGGGTCTGCGAACCAGGCAGATAGAACCTCAGGCCAAAGATCTGAAGCGCTTTGACCCAGATAGCCCAGATTCAAGTATTAACAACTACCTTAGAGAAGTCGACCATTGTCTCCTTGACCTGCCTCATACATCCTCACATGAAAAACTGAAACGGATAGGAGTGTCCGTGCTTTCATGGGGACACTCCCACCAAAGGTCCGATCCTTGCAGAAAGGAAACAAATCTGTTAGTCAGCACTTACAAACTGCCAAGCAGAAAGTGTTGGACATGTTTGAACTAATTCAGGGAGCACAGGTAATCATGGAGCAAGACATATCATCAGGATGTGACTCTGATCCTGGACCAAGCCCCTTAAAAGATCAAACAACCCTGCTGAAAAAGCTCAGTAAAGAACCGAGCAGCCAGGATAACCCAAGAACTGAGGAAATAAGTCTAGTTTTCCCTGATTTTGACTGTGGAGCCCCGTTCCTTGTGGAAACGCCCCAGACAGCTGTGACACCCTTTCACACCTTCATAGGTTTGAATCACCACATAGGAAGGGGGGTGACTTCTCAGCCCCCTGAGGCAGAGATAACACTAGGACCCCTCCTGATACCTGTTCCCATCGCAGGATTCACAGCTGAGGAATATCCAAAGCTCAGATGACTCGGATGGCTCCCTTTTACCCAGAGATCAAAGAATGCGCATATGGCTCATTGAATCTATGGCAAAGGATGTACAGCGGTTTGATCCAGATAACTCAGACCACTGTATCGATGATTACCTCGGAGCGATTAACCTGTGTCTCAGTGATGCACCTGATGCATCCACAAGAGAAAAACTCAGGCTAATCTGGAAGACAACTTCCAAAAGTGTCCATAGCTTCACGACTACCCTTCAGCCTGAGATCAGATACCAGTACTCTGCGCTCTGCAATGCTTTGTGCCAGGAATACTCCACCTACATTGACCCTGCATCTGCCCTTCTTAGTGCTTATAGTGTCTTGCACCAGAAGCACGAGGCCCCCAAAGATTATTACTGGCACCTAAGATCTGCATAATTTCCAGGGACGTAAGGCTCCAGGTTTGGAAGAGAATCAAACTTTCGAGCTTCCTAAGGAAGCAAGTTCTGAAAGTTCTGCCAGTGAGTTGGAGCGCATGAAAGAGGTGGTATGTCAGTGGGTCTCCCTCGCTTACAGAGAACCAGATTTATATTTTCTGAAGTGAAGTCATATTTCCTTTATTTTTTCCCTAAAAACACACACACACACACACACACACACACACACACACACACACACACACACAAATATGTGTGTAGAAGTGGATAAATCAGAATCTATTCATGTTATTTGATGACAAATTAATCATGTAAATTGTCTAAACCAGTAATATAAAAAAGTGCTTATAATAAAGATAAAGTTGTGTTTTGATTAATGTTGATAATTAAATTGAATATCTGTATTATAAATTTCAATTACATTTTGTGTAAGTCAGTACTATGACCACTAGATGGCAGTGAACGCTCATCATAATTAGTGCTAAAGAGAGGGTAGACAGTTACAAGGAACAGAGGGTATTATGGTTTAAAAACTAAATATTTAATGTATAATATTTTATTATTACGAGGCTTCAGAAAATAACCTTTAGTATAAACCTATAAACAAATCAAAGTGGTTTTTAACAAGTAAAATAACTAACTTAAGCTTGTTTAAATGATTTTATTAAAAGACTCAAGAGCATCAGTTTAAACATGTTTGAAACATTTTGATATCAACACTCATGTTTCCTGATTTGAACAGATTACTGATATGTGCAGCTGGATTTATACAAAAATAACATTATCACTATGAAGACAATCAATAGGCATGTTTTTAATGTGATTTCAATGAATAACTCAAAATGTACACATTGTTTTGACAGCACAAATATGTACTGAATGCTATTTCTTTAACAATATCAGCATGAGATGTTCAACTGCAGACCCTAGTAAATACCCTCTCTGCATCGTCAGCGAGCATGTCGAGGAAAAGTTAAGACTTCTGTAGGTAAAGGTAAAAGAGAGGCCCATTGCTGCTGGGATTCCAAGTATTGGAATGAATCTGAACCCTTCCTCTGCTGCCATTAATGCAACTAAGCTGCCTAATTGAGACAACAACTTCTGTAAAAGTTCAGGAGTTTCATTTACTGTTGCCAGAGGTGACTTGAGGACTTTCCTCAATTCCTCATAAGAAACCCCTGAGTATTTTGCCATTCTCTTCAGTGTTGGGATGTCAAGACCAAACCCAAATCCATATTGTTTGATAACACCGCCAAGCAAGTCTGTATCAACAGCGACAGAAACACCTGGAACTGGCACAGCTGCTCCAATAGCAGATAGAGTAGCCCAGTATTTGACTTTGGCTTGGAAAGCCTTTTTCTTTTCTTTGATCATGTCCAGACTGATATTGGGCATGGCAAGCAGAAAGGCTTCCTTCTGGAGTTCAGGAAGTTCTTCCTTCAGGGTCTCCACTAACAGAGGGAAATCATACAGTGTCAGGTCAACGCTGGACACCAAGAAGACCTGAGGAGACTGGAGACCTTGACCCTGAAGACCTGTGTCAGGAGAAATAAGTTATTTAGTTTAGTTCTTTCTTAGATCAGCAAATTAGATTTATTGCCAAGAAGAATTGTTACAACAAAGAAATAATCTACCAAACAAATGTACCTTACATTTTGTGGGATGTTTATATATATACAGTAAATATAGATAGAGAGAAAATAATACTCAAAGTTAATGACAGCATTAATGTCAAAAGAACATTCTAAGCACTGAGGTAAATCAGTTTATTATTTAATTATTTCTTAAAGGATATATCACCTACCCTGGATGCAGTTTTCCCTGATTTGTGTCAGGATCTTTTCTTCATTGAACTCTCTCTGACTTCTTTTCTCATAACGTATGTTATCATCAATCTTTGAGCGAACAAAGTAGAACTTCTTCTTCATCTTTTGAATCTCCTTAGCCAGCTTCACATCATTTTCTTTGAAGCGATCAGCTGAGATGATGAGGAAGAAGTCAAACTTTTTAAATTCATCCGTCTTCAGGTACTTAGCAGCAGGATAACCAACGTTGCCGATACCAGGAAGATCCCAGATTGTCACTTTGGGATAGTTTGGATGGGGATACGATGTGACCTCCATGGTTGTTTCTACACAACCAGTAGGAGCAGCTTTCTCATCCTTGTTGTCTATACCTCTAATGGCATTAACAAAGGCGGATTTACCAACGCCACACTCTCCTGTGACAGCAATATTTAGAGGAACATTTTGGTCCTTGTCCAAATACTCCTGGATCTTTGCACGAGCTAAGTCTTGATCATTTTTCTCCAGAGCTTCTTTAATTTCTGTTTCTATTTGTTGACGACCAGATTGATTCCCCATGGTGCTTCTTGAAAACTGGAATAAAAGAGATGTTATAAAGTCACTATAATCCTCTGACAAATAAAAGTGAATGTAAGACTACAATGATAGACATCACACACAAAAAAGTATGATAGAAGAAAACACTTTTCTTTGCATAAAGGAAGGGTTCTGAGGGAAAAAGAAAAACAGGAAACTTGATCTTTCCTGCGGGCTGGAGGTGATTTAAAACTTTGACTGTATGCCACTGACCAAAAGACTTTATAACCTGTTAATTAATATAACATCAAACATACAAATGATCTTCAAATATGTAATGTTTGTCCACTGCCTTTTAACATGAACATTATGATGATGAAGACTTACATGAATTCATCCCTTTTAGCAAAGCTGAGTTCACTTTTATTGAAATATTTATGAATCCCCTTTATTTCTTTGTTCTTTGCACTACGATCAATTAATTAATTCAGTATTCATCTTTTTTCATACAGCTCTTGTATATATGTTATACTGTTTGCTGCATATAGTTCTGTTTACATCTGTTAGTATGTCCCCCCCCCCTCATCACACAGCCTCTGTCTTAGTTCTCCTTTGTCCCCAAATGAACTATCCAACATCACCGCTAGTATATGAAGTGCTCAACCGGTACCCTCGACCCCATCCCATCCAGTCTTGTCAAAACTGTCTCCGAGCCATCCTGCCACTCATAACCACAATCATCAACTCCTCCCTCTGTTCTGGTTCAGTCCACCAAACACTCAAACTGGCAGCCGAAACCCCAATCCTCAAGAAACCTGGACTCAATTCTGACAGCATATGCAATTTCCGACCCATCTCCAACCTCCCCTTTCTGTCAAAAATACTAGTGTTGTCGCCTCTCAAATAAAATCCCACCTCTCTTCCAATAACCTATTTGAACCATTCCAGTCTGGCTTCAAAGACACCAACAACCTCTTCCTCTCATTAGACTCTGGCCACCTCAACATCCTCATCCTTCTCTACCTCACTGCTTCACAATAGACAAGTCCACTCTCTCCCCCTCCCCTCATATCTGCAATCTTAGAGTCATTGTTGACAGCCACCTCTCCTTTGATCACCACGTCACCCAACTCACAAGAACCGCCTTGTTCACCTTACAAATATAGCCTGTTTCCGTCCAATACTCTTATTCTCTGCTGCTGAAACCCTTATTCATGTATGTATTACATCTGAACTCGATTAATGCAATAGTATCCTGTACGGCACATCATCCAAAGTCCTCAATAAAATCCAATACATCCAGAATTCTGCTGCGAACCGGATCACCTGCACCCTATCACCCCTGTCCTGCAAGATCTCCACTCACTGTCCTGCTTTAATTTAATCTTTATTTGCAGTCGTGTACTCTGTACATTCTGGTGAAGTCTTACTCGGAAGGCGAACTTCTCACACTTACTAAACAGAACAGGCTCCATCTGCATACACCACAATCAGGCTCAGTCAGCAACCAGGAGGGACACATGTTACTAACTTACAACAGTGTTGCTAAGCAACCACAATGATATTCTGTGAGAATATTAAACTCCTCACACATAAAGCCTTTAACCACAAGGCCCCTTTCTACCTCATTGCTCTCCTACTTGTCACACTTCATGCAGCCTTCATTCTCCCAACACCAACCTTGTATCTTCCCCACATAGAGCCAAGCACCAAACCTGGGGGGACAGGGCTTTCTCCATAGCTGCCCCCTCCCTCTGGAACTCACTCCTGCACATATTCAACACTGCACTGACCCTTCCACATTTAAATCATTACTCAAGACTCACCTCTTCAAAAGAGTTGTTTTGGTCTTACTGTTTTTTCTTGATCTATCTTTTGTAACCAATGTAGTGTCTTTGAGTTCCTGAACAGCACTTAATAAATAAAATGTTTCATTATTATTATAACAATGTAAAATAAACATAAAAACTGACATTTGCAGCACACATTGAAGCAAACAACAAAAAAAACAGTAAGCAAGAAAATGGATAATGACTAATAATATATAACCAACGGAGAAAATAAAACTGAAATAAAATCACAATATGAAAGCACCCACAAACACAAGGAACATAAGATGACCTGACCTTTAAGAGTAAAGGTCAGTAGCGACTTAAAAATGCCAAACAACTGAACACATCTTTTATGCTATACTCACCAGATCAAAAGATCACTAGTTGCTCACCTTTAAGAAAAGTAGACACAAAGTAGCATAGAAACAGGAGAAAAGTTTAGCAGAGTTTATTGAGGCAGCAACCAATCAAAAGTCCTTCTGTGATTTCAAGACCACCCATTGATTATTTTTAAATCACCTGACTTTTAAGAAAAATAATGATTTACAGGAACAGTGAAAGCTGCGTGCTTTCACGCCCTCTCCTTGTTAATAAGAGCATGAATCTTTATTGTGGCTGCTGGTAGAAATCCTCCTTTTCTACTCTTTTGTTTTCAAAGCTTTGCCTCTTCAAAAACTAGTGATGTTGGGAGCCCTTATTGTGTGATATCTTCAGCTTTCAACAGAAGCTTCCGGATGGTTCCGCATGGTGGTTTTGATTAGTGCATGGTTGTATTTGTGGAATTTGAGATTTTTACAAATTTACAAATGTAATTTTCCATGGTAAATATTGAGAGAAAATGATTTTTCATGTGCTATGTTACTTTGATTTCGTACTTCTTAGATTCTCTCCTCAGGTTTATTGAGAGGACAGGAAATCACTCCATGGGAAAGGGAACAAGCACATAAGATTGTGGTGAGACGTCCTCGTCTCTGAGGTGTTGCATGCAGAAGTTTCTGTGACTGATGAATGCATCAGTGTCTACAAAAGTTATAATACGTGCTCACTAAGGTGAAATATTTAATGACACTCACCGCACAAAAAAAGGAAAAGAAACTCACTGCACCGACACTTGACAGTGGGCTATTTCTCAAAGTGTAGGGCTGTGGTCTGGGTGTATTAAGCTGTGTTTCTCTCCTAGATGGGCCATCCAGGTAAAAACTACCAAGGTCCCTTTGAGACCAAGGTACATTTTAACAGTCTGTTTTAAGTGACAGGCAGAAACCAGAAAAAAAATAAAATCTTTTTTTTATGAATGGCAAAAAACTTAAAGTCAGCTTGCTTTTCTGTTTCTTCAATAATTTTGGGGAAAAAAGAAAAATTCCAGCTGAAATTTCCTTTTACTTTACCGTCAAAACAAAATTACCAATCAATATTTCATTTAATTGAAGATGGGCCTTCAGTGCCCCTTTGTTCTGATTGGGCTTTATTAGATAGGACAGCTAAAGAGTGACAAGAAATGTGCTACCGCAGGTCGTTCATCCCATCTGCAGTCAGACTGTTTAATCTGACTCTTTAACAGCATCACCGCCTCATGACTCATATCAATAATGCTACACACTGTGTGTGTTTTTAATAACAATAACTCTTTCCACAAGTGGAAGTGTATTTTTTTTATTTAACTGATGTAAATATGTTTGATTTTTAACTTCTATTTTTATTTTTAATAATTATATTCCTGTTTCCTGTTTTCTTGAGCTGCTGTAACGCAAAAATTTCCCCCATGGGGGATCAATAAAGTTTATCTTTATCTTTATCTTTAAATGTTAGGAGGAGAGAGTGGGGGATGACATGCAGCAAAGGGCTAAATTCAGATTCGAACCCACGGCACAGCCGCTGCGACGGTGCTCATCATAACCACTAGGTTATCTGCAAAGTTTTCGGATTAGAAAAAGGCTAAACGAGAAGCTCCCACAATTTATCTGAGACAAAAATTGACTAATTGATTAAACACAATGTTTTTCTGCAGTGTTTCTCCTTCAGTGCAGCAGCAGCTGTGGTGATTTTACACCAATAACTTTTATGTATTAATCATCGCTTTTCATTATTTTAATCTGTCAAAAGCAGACAGCTGGTATCCTTCCTTTAATCTCCTATAATGTCAATACATTTTGCATCATAGAAAGTTAGGTCTGTGAGCATAACTTTATCTGTCTGTCTGTTTATATTCCACATGAAATACTTTTATGTAAACATTTCACAGTTTAAAGGAAGAGTAGAACCTTTATTTTGAAGTGATAAAACAATTTCAGCACACTTTGCCAATCAGAAGCAAAGTTGGCACTGAAAGCCAACCCCCACAATGAAAGTGTTCATTTTGAGAAAAAAAGGAAAAGATTTGAGCTAATATTTTCTTTATTTTTTTCGCCAAGAAAAAAGAACGGAAACACAAAACAAAAACATATCCTTAACGTTTTTAAGATTTTGTTGTCTTTTACGTCCTTACAGAAATTAATAACTCACGCTCTGAAAAAGGAAAGAAGAAAATCCGTCATCTGTAGCAGTTGAAAGCCAGTAAAAACTTTGACCAATGTCTGCCACGAGGTACCAATCTGATGAACCAATCAGATGCCTCCTTGTCTCCCTGCTCGTTCTCTACACCTTGAATGCACTAGCTCACACTCAAAGTGTTTTACTGTAGTTTATACTGTGAGTTTACTTACTGCTGAATGAGACGACGTAGTTTCTACACAATGCAAGCGATGAGCTGAGGGCTGCGTCTGGAGCAACAGCGCTGGTGCATGTGAGGGGGCGTAACTTTTGAGGGAGCACAGAGGGGAGGGGGTGGGTGTAGACGGAGCACTGAGGGAAGGCTACTTTCAAAATCATACTAGTTTTCAGGAAAATTACCAACACTGCCTTTAATTGTCGTTTTTGCCATGAATTGAAAAAATAAAAAACGACCTGTATCACACACTGTCAAAACAGTCTTACCTTGGTCAAATCGGTCAAATCGGTACCAATTACTGTGCGCCTGCTTCTGCAATCGGTGGGCACGGTTTCACAAACTGTGTGCACAGATTTGCACTAAAAATCAAATCTATTTTTAATATAATTTAATTTTATCTGGCCATCAGAAATGTGTCAAATGTTTGTATAATGAAGAATCTGAAAGTGTTATTAGGTCATTATGAACTGCTGGTTCATAAGTTTAAATAAAATTATCAAAATGGAACTGTTTTTTTCTGTCTTTGTGTGCAGACAGTTACATGGAACAGAGGGTATTGTGGATCGATAACTAAATATGTATTATTGAATCTTTTATTACTACAAGGCTACAGAAAATTTACAGAAGACGAT